ACTCTCGTGGCAACGCTCGTGAATCGGTGGCATTTGCGTCATCCGTGCCCTTGAAGATACTCTCTGACGTGACGGTCGAGGTTGCGCATCAGACATGTGAAAGTCGCCTGGTGGGGCCAGCCGGTGTGTGCACTGTGCAACTGTGTGGGTTGTGGATTGGACGGGCCGAGCAAGACAAGGAAGGAACAGGGATCGAGTTTGAAATTCAGGCGTCTCAGGGTCCATGGTAGGCCTGGCGTCCGCTTGTCGCTTTGAGAAACGTACGGAGTACCGAGCACTCCGTAGGCCGTGACAAAGTTTGGTCTTGATAACGGCGTGGCAAAGCATGGCGCTTCCTGGGCCAGATATGGTTTTGCTCCGACTGACGGCCGAGTGAGTGCTTGAAGTAACCGCGGCACCACGAGGTTTTCGAACGAGGCTCGTTCCTCGACACGGCCAAGGCGACACATTCTACTCCGTGTCTCGGCACAGAGTGCCATGACGATCCATCCAAACCGTTCCGCTCGGATTATCGCAACTACTCAATCTCGAGTGTGTTATCGGTGCTGATCAGGTCAATTGATATCTTCCCCAGCTGAGAATGATTGGTTCATCGCGAGCGGTAAAACAAAAGTTCACCTGCCAATATGTGACCGACCTATATAACGTATATCCTTGGCCTAGCCGGTGGATTTTCGGCGTACGCCTTGTTGTGTCTCGTCTCGTGGCCGTGCGGCTGAGGTGAAGCGATTTAGGGTCATGAGTTCTCGCAACAAGCCGTCATCCTTGCGCGAAATGGCGACACGGCACACTTACAGCTAGCGCATCATCCGCCTGGGCAAAATGCCCGCCTTCACGGCATGTGTCGTCTTCGTTTTGCCCTTATTTTACACCGCCTCTCACTGTCGCACCATTTGGCTGACTCGTGTATACTACGCGTCTCGACGTAGCAACTAGCCCTGTACTGAGAATGGGGTGAAGCTGTCACCCCACAAAAGATTCATAAAAGAGATGGGCGGCCCATTCGTAGATACGAGACCTTTGCCTAACACAGCCAACGACGAAGCTGCTTCGGGCTTGCATCGCGCCCATCAGGCGTGGACTGAGATAAAGAACTTTGACAGGCAAGTAATGCTAGGAAGCGCACAAGCAGTAGGAGATTGCTCCCAAGATTACCAGTAATAAGCGCCTCGAGGGTACATTTGCCAAGTTGGAAACAGGTTTTCTCGGAGAAAGCGTCGTTCCAACGCCAGACTGTGTCCAGGCCAACAATAATCCCCATCATTGTTCCCTAGTGCCAAAAGACGACGCGATAACTGAAAAGGGCAGGGGTGCCCGAGGAAAGCCTCGGAACGGATAGCCGCATCGAGACCCTCGCCTCACCGGATTTCCATGCCGTATTCCAACGTCACGGACACAGGACGCATTCATGTGTGCATGCGTAGGCGACGGCCAGCCATCCAAACATGGTCACTTGCTGGATGAGAGAGAGCAAAGCTCATCCAGCAAAGGTGAACAAGTCATCGTCGTTGCAAGCTGGTCCCACTGAGGCGGTTTTCGATAAGCCATTTGACCCTAAGTCATGCCAAACCTCCATGGTGGTGCTTCTGCAAGCCGCCCGCGGCGGAGAGACTGCTCCAGATGCCCGCTCTGGCCGGCTTGTCGTTTGCGGAGTGTCTGTTTGCCCTTTTTTTTTTCATGCATAAATCATAGCGTGCATCCTTGGTGGGATTGTGTTGTGATTCTTCCTTTTTGCTGAAAACTATTTATTTGGTTCATTGCTCATAATACCACTGAGTGAGAGGAATCGTCGGAATGTGGTCCGCCTCGCCGCGGTAGATGACTGTTTCAAATCCCAGCCAAATCGTTTGCATTTGGCGGGTTGCTGATCTTAAAAGGGGCAGCAATTTTAAGCTGTCATGCCATGCCCTGTCGTGCCATGCCCTGCCCTGCCCTGCCATGCCATGCTCGCCAGTATGATAACCGTGCTGACAGGCTACAGCACATGCTCAAGAACCGTGTGGGGCGTTGACCAATAGTGGAATTCGCCTCAATCTTCGCACACATTGTTGCAGACACAGCGTGCGATTGCGGTTGGCTAGGGACGCATCCCAACAGACCATCACATGCCAAACACGCCACGACTGGTACGGATGGCTTGTGTGCTCCATAATGGAGCAAAGCACGGAGTAGTGGTACGAGGCAACAAAGAGATGGAGAATCGGCTTAGAAGCTGCGGCCAATTGTGTCCTGGACCTCAAGAAGCGGCGACGACGGCAAGCGGCGACATTGCAGGCAGCAACCTAGGCGTTCTCCATGAGGCGCATGCGCGAAGCTCGACCCGGTACCCTTTGCGCGCGAAACCTGCTGGCCGTTAGCTATTCAAGCACCTAGGCTGGAGGGATGAAGGCATTGCTGCCGTGGCAAGGTTGATGGGATATGTGGCGTTTGGACCAGAATGCGAGTCTCAGTCCCGAAAGCATCGGGGAAAAGAGGAGACGACGACGGGCTCTGCCTGGCCCACAATTGCTGCCACACCCTGGCTGGTCCTTCCTCGTCTGCCGCCTGCCCGCGCCGACCCTGCCCTGCCGCGCCCTGTCTCAGTGTCTCGGATTGGGTCACTTTCACATGTTCGCCGCAGTTCGCCGCACCACGCCGCACCACGTCGCACCACCGCCTCCTCGCCAACCCAACGCAGAAGGAACGCCAGAGCCAACGCCAGAGCCAGAGCCGACACCAACGCCAGCGCTGCCAGGCGAAGGCGAGGGAGCTGCCTTGATAAGTGTCCCGACGTCCGCTCCCTGGTCCACGTCATCTTGCCAGTGGCGTTTCCCCTTCCCATCCCCATCCCCATCCATCCTCTTTAAACCATTGGCTTTCCCCCATCTACAAGAGCGACTGAACCCCCTTCTCTCACAACCTCTGCCAGCCACACTCGATCTTTTGAGTTACTTGGAGTTATCAACCCAAAAGAGGGGTCATTAGCCAACGAGCCTTGTCATCTCGCCTCACGCTCACCTGCCTCCTCTCTCCTCTCTTCTTCTCTCTGATACACACACGACAGCGCCCACCGCAGTCGCAATGGTTGTCCCTCAGGTCAATGGCGATGTTTCGCCCCGTCCCAACTCTGCTTTTCTCCAGGTATGTCGCGACTCGGCCGCGAAGGACCAAAGCTCAGGCTCATCGTCATCTGTTGCAGCATCTCCTCGCGTACCCTTTGATCAGCGATAGCATCCACACTGTCAAGGCCAACGAGTACGCCCAGCGCTCCATCAAGCTCGGTGATTCTGCCTACCAGACGTTTGCTGCTCCTGTCCTTCCCTGGCTCGCCAAGCCCTACGAGTACGTCTCTCCCTACGTCGCTCGTGCCGACACTCTGGGTGACAAGACGCTCGACCGCATCGACGAGCGCTTCCCGATTGTCAAGAAGCCAACCAGCGATCTATACAACGACACCCGCAGCCTGGTTCTCTTTCCCTACAACAAGGGTATCGAGGGCCGTGACCACATCTTTGACGTCTATGCCAGTGAGGCCAAGAAGATTGAGCAGAAGGGCCTTGTTGGCCAAGGCAAGGCCGCTGTCTCCACCGCCTTTGTTGTCAGCAACGAGACTCTGGGCTGGCTAAGCAGCTTCTTGGCCGCCAAGAAGACCGAGGCCACTACGGCCGTCAAGGAAAAGACCAAGCAATAAATGCCCCTCACGCCACACCCAAGTACATACGAGATGTCTGTACCTGCTGGAATACTCGAACCAACCTGGCTCGGCCGTGGTACCTCTTGGGTTGGCTTTTTTTTTTCTTTTTTTTTTCATTCTTCCTTGATTTGGGTGTTGCGCAATTTACACTCTGTTTCATTCTGGCGTTTATGAACGTTGCTGGCTCCCACGGTCTCAAAAGTCCGTCACACAAGAGGAAGATGATGGCCGAACTTGACAGTCACGCACTATTTGGCGGATGGAATCATTATACCTCGGAATTGTTGGGCATGGCTGTCTGCTTTTGTTTTTGTATCACAACCTGTTTTCTCTCTCCCTTGGTTCCTGGTCAGAATCTTTACATTTGCAGCTCCCGTTCAGGTGGCGTGACGATGTACATGAAGGTCTGTGCAAATGCAAATGATGCAGTCGTTTTGTTTCAGAAGTACAGAGTGCACGCAAAGGCTTCGTTGGTATGACTGTATTGCTTTTCTGGGGCTGGTCATTCCTTGCCCGAAAAAAAAAAGCGACGGAAAAAGGAGTATAGAAAACGGACGAATGCTCGACAATTGCATCGCAACCCCATTCATTTTGGAACGGCCCATGATGATGATTTGAGGAAAGAGCAAAAATGATACTGAATGTAAAAGGTTACTGAGCAGACGAGCTTAACGATTGTGTCTTGTCACTGAACATGACTTCCTCCCTCGTGTGATTTGTTGCAAACGAATGTTGGGATTGTATATCGCTGTGGCGTTTGACGAAGAGCCATCCGCCCCCAGAGAGGGTGGCGCACATGCCACTTACTCCGTAACTGGTTCACATGTGAAAGGGACCCACCTGCTTTTCTTGCCGCTCTCCATCGATCGCTCTTCTGGCCTGCGTCCCCATGGCCGGTTATTCCCGGAATGACTTTTGCCGGCAGCTTTGCTGAGTAAAGTTGACTGCGGTGTTTTTGTTCACCCATGGGTTCGACAGATTAGGTGGCCTACCCTACGTGGGCGTCGAGCGGCCATTGCTGATGTAAAGTTGACTAAGGCCTGGGGGCCCGCTCCACGGCCTCTCAGCCAATCATGTCGCCCAGGCGCTTGAAGTGCAAAAACACCAGTGACTAGCAACGAATATCGTAAGCATTACAGAGCTTCTGCCAGCTTCCAACGCTCAGGCAACGTCACGAACGGGAGGGCCCGACAACGGGTGATTTAAAAGGCGCCTCATTTCTCGTACATGACGAATCCGCCCCCCATCTCTCTCTCTCTCTCAAAAAAAAAAAAGCAGCACCGCCCGCAATCACTTCCATCGTCTCTGATCGCACGAGGCACATTACATGCATCCATCCCAGGCAAAACTGCCTATAAAGAGCCGCACCCGCAGCCGCCCGCGCCCCCGCCACCAAGGCACCAAGTACTACTTGCAAAACACGCTCATCGCGGCAGTCACAGCAGGCCTGGCCGCCGCCATCCTCGCCATCTACCGCACCGCAGCGGCCACGACCACGACCACGACCACGACAGCGACAGCGACAGCCCCCCCCGAGATGGCGCCGGTCCCTCGAGCCATCCGCAAGGCCTTCCTGGCCGCCGAGCAGTCCGAGGGCGCGGGCGCGCGCGTCCGCCGCTCCATCGGCACCCCGCAGCTGCGCAACCTCTCGCCCTTCCTGATGCTCGACCACTTCCGCGTCTCCCCCGGCGCCGGCTTCCCCGACCACCCCCACCGCGGCCAGGAGACAATCACCTACCTGCTCGAGGGCGTCACCGACCACGAGGACTTCGCCGGCAACCGCGGCACCCTCTACCCCGGCGACCTGCAGTTCATGACGGCCGGCCGCGGCATCGTCCACGCCGAGATGCCCCGCGACACGGGCGACGGCAAGCCCAACGTCGGCCTCCAGCTGTGGGTCGACCTGCCCGAGCGCCTCAAGTCCTGCGCCCCGCGGTACCGCGACCTGCGCGCCGCCGACGTCCCCGCCGTCGACGTCGACGCCGGCAGGGCCACCGTCAGGGTCATCTCCGGCCAGAGCCACGGCGTCGACTCGGTCAAGGACCTCGCCTACACCCCCGTCTGGATCCTCGACCTGACCCTGCGCCCGGGCGCCCGCGTCACCCAGCCCCTGCCCGAGGGCTGGAACGCCTTCGCCTACGTCCTCGACGGGTCCGCCTGGTTCGGGCTGGGCCGCGACCGCACCCACGTTCACCAGTTCCACAACGTCGTCTTTGAGCAGCACGGCGACGTCGTCCACGTCGAGACTGACGCTGATGCCACAAAGGACACGCGGCTTGGTAAGCAAGCTTGGACGACCGACCAGACCTCCCCCCCTTGTCCCCCTTCCCTCCCCCCCAGCTACCCCCAGCTACCCTGTAGCTGTAGGCTGTCATGTCCAGGCACAGAATACTACTAACCCGACATTCCCAGTCATCATTGCCGGCACGCCTCTCGACCAACAAGTCGTGCAGTACGGGCCATTCGTCCTCAGCTCAAAAGAGGGTGTGTACCAGGCGTTGCACGATTACCAAACCTTCTCCAATGGCTTCGAGAGGGCAAAGAATTGGAAGAGCGAAATTGGCAAGCCTTTGATGCGGTAAAGCTGGACTGGTCCAGCCTGGCCACGAGAAAATGCGTTAAAAAGAATGCCCACTCACTTGAACGATCCTCATGAATGAGAGTGAATGTCTCTTCCATCATGTATACTACGCAAGTCTGTACATTATTAGCAAGCAGTCGAGTCAGTCCTTCACATACTTCGCTACGCATGATGCATGATGCATGACATAGAACGCCGTTTGCCTCGCATTAATTCGGGCCCCGTTACCCGACGCACAGACAAGATTCCGGATTGGTATCAAACAAGCCACAGCTTCACAGAGACCCCTTGGCGACCGCCCTAGTCCCAAAAAATTATTGATTAATGTAATATTTAAATGAGAGCAAGAAAGCCAGACCCCTGAAGAACCAGGCCAGATCGCCGGGGGGGTATCATGAAAACCGCCACAGGCTAGCCGTAGTTTATGGGTCTGCACAAGTAAACCCGTCGTCGACCAGACCTGTGTATACCGAATTTTCTTTCCATTTATAAAAAAACACGTTGCAAACCAGATTTCACGCCCCGACCTACTCACTCCACCGTCGGCATTACAAAAGAGGACACATAAACCATATGCCTTGCTAACCCTCGGTAAACAACCCTTAGATAACTCATCTCCAGTCCACTTGGCAAAACTTCGTGTTTTGTGCCGATGGGGGTTGAGACGTGGTGCTGAGTATCAAGTATGAACGGGTATTATGTATCAAAAATGTGCGGCGTAAAACATCAAAAAAGTTGGGGCAGCCAATTGTTCCCCGTCCTAGATGAGGAGAGCAGCGAGGCCGGCAGCGGCGAGGATGCCAGGGGCAGCAGTGATCTGGGCCTGTGAACACACATGTTAGCATGCACAATTCCTTCAATGACGATGTTTCAGGACTCACAGCAAAGCCCTTGCTGGTGGATGTAGCACCACCGTTGCCGGAAGTCTGCGAGCCGGAGCCGCCCTCGGATGTTTGGGAAGCACCGCCATTGCCTTCCGAGGTGGACTCAGAGCCAGAGCCGCCAGTTGAGGACTCGGAGCCAGCACCACCAGTTGAAGACTCAGAGCCAGAGCCAGTCTCAGAGGCACCAGCACTCTCGGTGCCGGAAGAGCTGCTCATCGCGGTGGCGAGAGTGCTAACAACCTGGGAACCGTTGGTGGTGAAAGTGAGGACACCGCCGGCGCCACCAGCTTCGCCGTTACCTGCCCCAATGGTAGAAGTGGCCACAGGAGTGGTGACGGCCTTGCCGTCAGGACCAGTTTCGGTGCTGTAGATGGTAGTAACCTTGGCACCACCGTCACCCTCGCCAGTCTTGGAGGCTTCACCTCCATTTCCCCCGCTCTGGCTAGCACCACCGGCGCCGGCGCCTCCACCGGTAACCTTGACACCGACACGAGCGCACTCGTCTGTGCTGAACTTGATGACCTGGTTGGCCTCGTTGGGACAGGACTGAGTAGAGCAGTCGCGCAAACCGTTGTGGAAGTCTGGGTTTTTGCAGAGACACGACCAGTCCCCGTCTGAGCAGCCGAGAGCGCTGCCCTTTTTCAGCATGTTGTCGATGCAGACTTTCTGTAACCATACTGTTAGCAAGGAAAACAACAATATCTGCAGAACGGGAACTTACACCGCACCCGAGGCCGCTGGCCGAGTCTTGAGCAGCAACAGCCGCGATTAAAGCGAGACTGAAGACAGTAGACTTCATCTTGATGGTGTTCGGTAGTAGGTTCGGACAAGAAATCTGTAAGCCTTCGTCAGTCATCGACCATGGGTAGAGCATTCAGATTCCAGCGTAAACACGACCGAGGCGAACAAACGGCTGAAGAATTCCACGGTGTGTGAGGCGTGAATAGTCGCGGATGGTTGATTGGCCAAGAGGGCCAGCCGAGGAATGAAACACCGACAAATAAACAATGCTGGGGACGCTATTTGGGCGGGTTGTCGTTGCAAAACCTTGACACCGTCAAAAGGTTAACAGCACCGCTAGAGAGACGTGGACAGCCCAGTGGCCACCTTCCTCAAGGTAGACGGTGCTGTTGAGCCTTGCCGTGGCCCAGGTGCTTCAGACCAACGTCGTTCCCAAAAGACTTCCTTTTTCCCATGGTTTACTCTTCTTGCAAAGTGGACCCGTGATATTTCCATGCAGGGAGAGCAGAAGGGAGAGCAGAAGGGAGAGCAGGGAAGGGAGCAGGCGAGATGCAAAGGACGGTGCGAGGGCGACTGGACAGGCAAACAGCCAGGTAGAAAAAGCAAAGGGATCAAGAGGGTAAAGCAGTAGACCTACCCTTAGATAATGGACTTGGAAGTGAGACGAGGCCTCGTTGGTAGGGCAGTGCTTGAGATTGACGATCAGAGCGTGGGCTTGAGAGGGGTGAGGGAGGAGGGAAAAAACCGAGGAGGGCAGAAGCAGATTTATGATGTGGCCGAGGGTGCCCAAGTGCTGTTTGATGTCTTTTTCGTGTTAGCTCAAAGCTGTGAAAAGCAAGAAAGCAAGAGACGGCCAGGGCAGGAACAGGTGGCCGGCAGCCGTGTGCCACCTGCCTCGGCTGCTCAAGTGGTGCTCAAGCGGTGATGCAAGTGTTGAACAGGCTTGGGCGCCTGCCCAATGGCATGACACGCCTGAGGAGCCATACCATGACGACAGAGGGCTCCGGAATAGGGCCAGCACAGCTGGGGTTTGCCAGGTCCAGCCAGACTAGGTATCGATGCTGGGGGCTCAAGGTGTCTTGCCGGGCTCAGGTGCACTAGGACATGGCTGGGCCCACAGGGTGGGCCGTTTCCGCAAGTGCCAAGTACTTGGTAGGCTTGGTAGGCTTGGTAGGAGGCAGGCACTCAAGTTAGGTTCGCAGGGGCCCACCACCATCAGCCACCGGACACCAGCCACCCGCGGCACCCTCCTCAGTGGGCACTGAGCTCTCCCTCGCAGGCTCGAAAACGCCTCATCGAGGGTTCCGTCGTCCACCGAGTTCCACGGGCTGCTCCATCTTTCTTGTCGGTGACGGGGTCTGCGTTGCTTGCACGGCATGGTCGGCCGACTCCATCGCCGGTAGGGACTAGGGACGGCCTTCAGAGGATAAACATTTGTGAGAGGTTTTCCACGGTTATAGCCCGACTACGGAGTACAGGGATTGTATCGTTACGATGCCACTGCTTGTGCTGGGAAAAACCGACTTTTGTTCGTGCGATAAGGCTGATAAGGTAATATCGAGAGTATGGCTAATTTCATTAGGGTTACAGCTACAATTTTGCAGGTGTCACTCAGAAAGATCCAAGCAGAACATCGCTATAAAAAGGAAGTTGCTTTAGCATGCTCAACGCATGTAGAAGGGACGTCACCCCTGGGCGTGCGCGCGAAATCGCTATAACACGAGATCGTTGTAGTAAATGGTCCGGCAGATTAAATTGACCAAGTACTCAGATGGCGAGCCCTGGCGAGCCATTTCATAGTGGGGCGTTGCACGAGTAGGCAGAGGGAGTAAGTAGAGCCAATTGGTGTCGGTCTTTTGCGGACCCCCAAGGAGAGTTATTGCAGTTGCAATGTCTTGCAGTTCATCACCAGAGCTACGGCTGGCTCTCTCACGAGTGACGTGCTATCGACACCCAAGTCGCCTCCAGATGCAACTTTTGGTGACACGCTTTCGAAGAGTCGTCAAAGGTGGCACGGAGCACGTCTGGTCTGCCAGTGTTGCAATGACGCCGAGTTGACGCGCACTACCGACGTACATCCATCCGTCCATGGCTCGACATCAGCGACGCCCGCCGCTTTTCCGTCGGCGGTGTCGTCGTCTGTCGTCATGCGGCGAATGCACAAGCACGCGTTCCGGTTTTGGAAAGCGAGCCTCTTTTCAACGAAGCCAGGCCTCACACCGCCAACTTGCGGACGGGGCGTCGTCAGAGACAACAATGGGTTACCCAGTCGCCGCCCCCTTTACAAGACAGCACACGATGGCCCCCGGGCTGGCGCCGACAACCTACATGGACTGCGACGCGACGTGGAGGGGGTCCCGGCTGTGGTTGTCTGTGAGGTTGGTCGCTTGCTGCTTGCTTGGTTGATAACTCGGCCGACGACAATGCCATTTGATTTTCACCCACGGTTCAACAGAGAGGGCCATGACGGCCACGGCGCATCGGTATTCTGCGTGTCAATTTTAAATATCAGTGCGTAGGTTGCAGGGCGGACCGCTACATCATGGCCACATGCACTAACACGAGGCCGTCTGGGAACCATGGGCGCGCGCAATTTTACCTGACGCAGACTGCCTGGAGCGGCGAGACACAACAAAGGCAACGCAAGGCAGGGCAGGGACGAGAATTGGAAGCATTTGGAAGCCTCTATGCCGAACCGTACCGTACCGCATTGGCGCCATTGCCATTGGAAATGAGGTACGAAGTCGTGCCAAATCTCGATCGATGGGGCGGCAGCACTTAACCAGGACGCACTGCGGTAATTCGTTGCTACCCAGACAAAACAAAACACAAAACCCGGAACTCCGTGCGCGGCCCTGGACTGCTTCTTTGGGCTTCTTTGGGACGGACCAGTCCAATCGAGGTTGCTCGTGCCCCCCCCTGGACGTTGGTTGCCGCGCCACAATCGCCACGCGCAAAAGTCTTCGACGGACTGCCGGATGATCCATACGAGAAGGGTCTTTGGAGTAAACGTTGGCATGTCCCATGTCCCCTTCAAAACCTGTGGTACGTGCTATTTCATCGGCCTTTGTTGCCCTCTCCACGAAGTTATGCTGTTTCGAGTTTGGCCAACATGGCCGGGGAGCTCAGCTGCGTTGCTCGGGCGGCGCGAGTCCTCATGGCCGTGTAAGTCTCTGGTCTTGTGGGAGAGCGGGGGCCGTTGTCTCTGGTGTTTCATTTACCATTCCGTCTGAGCCAACAAGACGGGACGCATGCTTATCTGTAGCCTGGGCTGCGTCACTGGGCAAGAGTAAACTCTGCCTTCCACTGCCACTTAGTACGTCTATGACGAACGAGGAGGTAAAGCCACCAGCAGCGAGGCCTCCTTTTGGACGACCTGATACTCCGTAGTGGAAAAGAGTGACGAAATTGGGCCCCGCAAGGCGTTGCCTCTCAAACCGATCGCGCGGGCAGCGGGCAGTGGGCAGTGGGCACCACCATCCAAGCGTCATGGTTTGGGGCCTGGGCCGGGGCCGGGGATGGCCAGGGCCCAGGATTAGGAGGCCAGCGGGTCGTCGCCGCCACTAGCTGCTCCAGAACCGGTCTCGAGAAACAAGACTATCGTCCAGGCTCGGAGTTTTGATTGGCCAATCGGGTGCCAAATAAACTTTGTCCTCTGAGCTCTCTAATGAAGGACCGGAACCTTGGAGATTCACGGTGACCAGTGCAAGGGCTCGCGATTTTTTTGGATTTTTTTGAAATTTTTTTCCAAGTGGGGATTCAATGGCATTTGGGACGCGCATGGAAAAAACGGCGGCCAACGGTTTCAACCCCGGTCCAGCTGGACTTGCCCTTGGACTTGCCCTCAAAAGACTGTAGCCGGGATTTACCAAGGTCAACGGGCAAAAACCATGCAAGAGCAGCACCCGACTACAACGTACAACGTACAACATGGCAGAGCCGCCAAGAAGGATGCGATGTAGGCATTGTCGTTGGGAGGTGCTTCCGGCCGGACAACTCTTGCGGCGGGCAGTCTTACAAGCAGAGTTTGGACAAGAGTGCCCGTGCCCGTGCCCGTGGCCGTGCTCTTGCTCGTGCTCGTGCTCGTGCTCGTGCTTGTGCTCGTGCCCGTGCAACAAAGACGGGCTGAGTAAGTAAGTACGTAATGCTGAAGATTTGGCGCTGCCCCACTCCTTGGTCCTTCCTTGGTGGCGCGCCGCTGGCATTGGCCGGCGACGGTTGGCAGTTTCGTCGTTTTCATGCACTCGACTGCCTTTTCCAGCAACGCCTGTTTCCCCCGAGCCCTGGCACCACCCGTCAACCGGCGTCGTGTACCGAGTACTGCGTCCTCCTGGTGCTGGTGCTGGTGCCTGCCCGGCCACTCGCTCTGATCAAAGCAAGTTGTAGATTGAATTGTACGGAGCCCTCCGTACTCGTAGCCATGCTTCGTGCGCGCCACACGTCGACTTCGACAGCCAACCAGGCAAAGGCAGACATGCCCAGGCACCGCTATGCTGGCATCATGATCATGTGCCGCGCAAGTGGTCGCGCCTTCATTCACACGGGCAGAAGCCATCCACGCATCCGTTCCCAGGACGGCACATAGTCATCGCCCCAACTTCCTTCGTTCAACCTTTGTCTAGGACACCCGAAACCCTGCTTTACCTACAGGCCGCGAGCCTGCTCCAATCTTCTGCTCTGCTTGCGCAGGGACGACATCACATCATCGACGTCATGCTGCCGTCTCCCCACCCTCCCTCTCTGCATGTCACGGCGGCCCGTACGAATCCCATGCATGCCCAGGCACGTCTCGTCCAATGGCAAGATCCTGCGGTCCCTGGACCTCTGTCTCTTTGCATGACGCACGAACATCGTGACGACTGAATCCTAAGCCGTCGTCATGCCATGCCATGCCCTGTCGCCGTCTTCCGTCTTCCCTTCATCTCCCACGCCGCCTCGCCTCGAGCCGTGGCAGAACCGACCAAGTATGTGACGCATCATGCCGTCGTCCGTTCCGTCGTCCCGTCGTCAACATCGACTGCCAACTGCCGACTGCCAGCAAGACCCGGGCCTGGTGCGACCCAGCAGGCGAGAGACTCATGTCCGTCAACCCAACCCCCATCAACGATTCACAAATTCACAAAAGGGTCAACAGTCTCCCTTCCTCATGCGTCTCGTGTCCTGTTTGTCGTTACACTGTTCCCCCCATCTCACTCTCGCCTTGCCGCTCACTTGCCTACGTGCGACACACACAACCCAGTCCTGTCCAGTCTTGCCCCTGTCCTGTCCCGCATTGTTTGTTTTTCTGGTGTGAGGCAATACACCCGTCATCGATACGGACCGCGTAGAGACCATCGGCTTCTTACATACCTCTCTTGTACTTGGGAAACAAGATTGCTACTCAATGCGCCAACTTGACAAACAGTACACTTGGTCCTGAAGTTGTTTCATGTGTTTCGTAAATTTCATCCGTGCTATGCGTACGCACGACTGCGACAACTCAAGACATCCGGTAGGCTGTCTCTGTGTCTCAAAGAAAGACAAAAAAAAACATGCAAACCATGCTACAAGAGTAAATCAGCCCATGACAATAACCCGAGTTTCGGCTATACACGAAACTTTCCACCGCCGTAACAGCAAGGAGCGTGTTCGCGCTCCATCATGGACCGACCGGCTTGATGCCCTTGGAAGAGAAAATCAAAATGAATTACCCAATATCAAACCAACCCATGCGTGCCGTCGTACCCAGCTCGTCAGCAAATCGTTATATTCTTCCTCTTGAGGGATCACATGTATTCTTTTATTAGAAATTAACCACTGCACATGACACAGGCCTCGGGGTTATCAATGCTGCCTGTTACGCCTCAGTTAGCAAATGGGCCTGTGCATCGACTCCAAACTTGGCTAGACACTTACAGGCAAGGACGGCCTTGGAGTAGATGTCCCGCTCACGCTCTTCGCTGTCATGGCCGTCTTCAGACTGACCATTACGCTCCGTCCCTGGCTCAGCAAGCTCCTCGTCCTTGATGCCCTCTGACGGTTCAGTAGGCAGGACCTTGGGGCTGTCGCCATCATCGACATCAGCTTTGATGGCGGCTGGCTTGCTCGGGGAGGCAATGGGGCGGGAAGCACCAGCGGGCGGAGGCGTGTTGCTAGGGGTGGGAATGCCATTAGCGTTGACAGAGTTGCTGCCGTCTTCCTTCCTCAGGTACGCGGCTCGGGGCACAGCAGATACGGAACTCATGTAGCTGGTGCCAGCAGGGGCAGTTCGCTTCTTGGGAAGTCTGTCTTTGCCAACATTGGCGTCGGCAACCTTCAAGGCCTCTTGGTCAACTGTAAACTGGATAGGAGCGGCGGCAGCCTGCGTGCGCAAGTAGTACATGCCAGTCTTGAGACCCAGTTTCCAGCCGGCAAAGTGCATGCTGGTGATTTTGCCCATTGATGGGTCCTTCATGTGAATGTTGAGAGACTGAGACTGGTCGATAAAGGCACCACGGTCGGCGGCCATCTGGACAACCTGTCGCTGAGATATCTCCCATACGGTCTTGTAGAGAGCCTTGATATCGGCGGGGATGTTGGGGATGTTCTGAATGGAACCATTCTCAGCAATGATGCGATTCTTCATGGCATCGGACCAAAGTCCCATGTCAACGAGGTCTTTCAACAACCAAGGATTGACAACCTGAAACTCGCCAGCCAAGACACGTCGCTGGTATATGTTGGACGTGTAGGGCTCGAAGCACTCATTGTTGCCGAGAATCTGCGACGTGCTGGCAGTGGGCATGGGAGCAAGGAGCAACGAGTTGCGGATACCGTGCTCTTTAATCTGCTCTTTGAGAGTGTCCCATTCCCACAGGTCAGAGGGGGTGACATTCCACATGTCGAACTGAAGGACGCCCTCTGAGGCGGGAGATCCCTTAAAGGTAGAGTACGGGCCCTGCTCCTTGGCCAGCTCCATCGAGGCCGTCAGGGCGGCGTGGTAGATGGTCTCGAAGATTTGCTTGTTCAGCTCGCGAGCTTCCGGAGACTCAAAGGGCATACGCAAAGCGAGGAAAGCGTCGGCAAGACCCTGAACACCAACACCAATCGGCCGGTGTCGCATGTTGCTGTTGCGAGCCTCCTGGACAGGGTAGTAATTGACGTCAATAATCTTGTTGAGGTTACGGACGACAACCTGAGTGACCTCGTGGAGCTTCTGAAAGTCATATCGACCCTCGTTGTAGTCGACAAAAGCAGGCAGAGCAAGGGAGGCAAGGTTGCAGACGGCAACCTCGTCGGGAGCCGAGTATTCGACAATCTCAGTGCAGAGGTTGGAGCTACGGATGGTACCCAGGTTCTTCTGATTGCTCTTTTTGTTGCAGGCATCCTTGTAGAGCATAAAGGGATTACCAGTCTCGGTCTGAGCCTCAAGGATGGAGTACCAGAGCTTCTGGGCACGAACAGTCTTGCGACCTTTGCCCTCTCGCTCGTACTTTTCGTACAGAGCCTCGAACTCTTCACCGTAGCAGTCGGCAAGGCCAGGGCATTCGTTGGGGCACATCAGAGTCCAGTCGCCGTTCTTTTCGACACGCTTCATGAATAGATCGGGGATCCAGAGGGCAAGAAAAAGATCACGAGCACGGACTTCCTCCTTGCCGTGGTTTTTTCTGAGATCGAGGAATTCAAAGACGTCAGCGTGCCAGGGCTCCAGGTAGATGGCAAAGGCACCGGGACGCTTGTTACCACCCTGGTCAACATATCTGGCAGTGTTGTTGAAGACGCGGAGCATAGGAATAATGCCATTGGATGTACCATTGGTACCGGCTATGTAGGAGCCAGTGGCACGAATGCGGTGAACATTGAGACCGATGCCGCCGGCCATCTTGGAGATCATGGCACAAGTCTTGAGAGTGTCGTAGATGCCCTCAATGCTGTCATCCTTCATGTCGACCAAGAAGCACGAAGACAGTTGGGCTTGAGGAGTGCCGGCATTGAAGAGTGTAGGTGAAGCGTGGGTGAAGAATTTGCTGGACATGAGGTTGTATGTTTCGACAACGCGCTCAATGTTGTCTCCCCAGATGCCGACAGCAACACGCATGATCATGTGCTGAGGTCGTTCGACAATCTTACCGTTGAGCTTGAGAAGATATGATCGCTCCAGGGTCTTGAAGCCAAAGTACTGGTAGTTGAAGTCTCTGTCGTAGACAATGGCCGAGTCGAGCTCGTCTCTATGTCTCATGACGCACTCGTACGTGTCCTTGGAAATCATGGGCGAGGCACGCTCATTCTTGGGATTGACATAGTGGTACAGGTCGCTGACAACAGAAGACCACTGCTTCTTGGTCTGCTTGTGCAAATTGGAGACGGCGATACGGGCGGCAAGGATGGCGTAGTCGGGATGGGTGACGGTCATGTAGGCAGCGGTCTCAGCGGCCTGGAAAGCAACCCAGGTCAGTACCGGACATGGAACGTGACCGCAAATGGACTGAAGGGGAAGGGGTCAGGTTTCTTACGAGATCGTCAAGTTGAACAGTGGTTACACCACCGTAGACACCCGATATGACCTTTTGGGTGATGGCAACAGGATCAACGTGTTCCGTGTCGAGGCCGTAACACAGCCTTGAGACGCGGGCAGTGATCTTGTCGAATTGGACGCGCTCTTGGCGGCCATCTGCAGGGTATTATTAGCAAAGGAGGCTGGATGGCAAGTATGCGAGTTGGAGGACATACCGCGCTTTCTAACGAACATGATGACGACGCGGCCCTGAGGGTTGAGCGGGCAGCAAACGACGATGCAGTGGGATATACAGGTTCAAATGCAGGACGAGTCTCGATGGCTGCGAGTGTCTACCAGAGCACCAGCAGCTGCTGCCACGGTCCACAAGTGCAGAGAGGAATTGCGAATAGACAAACAGTGTTGCCGACTACCCAGTGGTGATTCGTGTAGGGTCGAGAAAAAGAAGCGGCGACTCGGAGTAGGTGGACATGGAAGGCCTTCTTAAAGTGCGGCGCGTATTTTGCACAGAACCAGTCGACGCGTTACGGACCAGAACTGGGACCTGCTAGCGCGACAACATGTAACTCGGAACGGCACTTGTCTTAATCCGTCCACTGGTCCGGCCCCACCCACCGTCCTCCGCTCAGCGTGAGCGATCAGGGCCTCAGTGGCTGCGGCAAAGCACTGTCACTGTGACTCAAGGGCGGATTCCAGCGCCAACCAAGGTGCGATTGTCGGCCTGGTCTCCCTGGATACGCCCCTGGCGGATCAAATAGTCCCTGACCGATTTAATCTGGGCGTATTTCCGAATTCCAGTTGCAGTTTCGGACCTGCGGTTCTTCGGCTCGGAGGTTTTGGCAGCAGTCGATTCCTTTGTCCATAGGTCTTGTGCCTGGTCGTCATCCACTAGGGCGGGGCGCCGTGCAGGAGCGCGCACCCCTGCTCGCTGTCAATCCGCGTTGACACTTGGGCGCGAAGTCACGTGAATTTGGCCTCATTATTAATGGGTCCACGGATCCACCTGACTGGGCACGAGACGGAGGCCATGCCAACAGCCGGTTGCAAGGCACCAATACAAAGTTGCTCGTGACAAGACAAATCGTCTGTGATGCTTTGTATGACTCAATCGAAAAACAAGCCCCCGTCGATGCAAATATAAAGGCGATAAAAACAATTTTCGATGATCTTGAGACGATCACCAAGTCGCTTGATATTACGCCGTGCAACAATGGCTGCCCAGGCGGCCGAGACCCCGAATGGGAACTACAAGCCCAGATATGTTGACGTAGGTCACGAGTCACGACAACATCTCAGAAGATCAAATCTCGAAAAAGCTTCCAGCTCTAGATATAACGCTTCCTGACCACCTTTCATCCAGTAGATTGGAATCAATTTATCCGACCCCATCTTCAGAGGCAGATATCATGGCCACCAGAAACACCCCGATGACCTCTCCGGAGTCATCGACCGAGCCCGACAGGTGGGATGTACCAAGCTCATGGTTACAGGATCAGACATCGAGAACTCCCGAGAGGCTTTAAAACTAGCACTAGAATACCGTACGTATGCCACCGACTTGCCCGCTGAATCGCAATCCCGCAGGCACACACGATGCTAACGGACGCGAACGACCAGCCGGAACCTGCTACGCAACAGTAGGCATCCACCCATGCAGCAGCGCCATCTTCGGCGTGGCAGACCTCAGGAAGAAGCAGAGCGAGCACACAACTCCGTGTGAGGACGACCCTTATGCTCCCATGTCAGAAGAACACCAGCCTGACACCGCGAGGTCGGCGCATGCCATCGAACAGCTCACTACCGCCGTGGCGCAAGCAAGGTCATCCAGCCGGCCGCACATGGTGGCCATGGGTGAATTCGGCCTCGACTATGACCGGCTAAATTACTGCAATAGGGTGATCCAGAAGCACTCATTTGCGGCACAGCTACGTGTCGCCGCCTCGCTGCAGCCCCAACTGCCATTGTTTCTGCACTCGCGAGCCGCCCACGGCGACTTTGTGGCCATTTTAAAGAGCGTATTTGGCGAAAGGTTAGAACACCTTGACAAGGGCGGCGTCGTGCACAGCTTTACGGGCACCATGGAGGAAATGACGGAGCTGATGGAACTGGGACTGTACATTGGCATCAACGGGTGCAGCTTCAAGACGGAGGAGAATTGTCAAGTCGTCAAGGCCGTCCGTCTCGACCGGCTCATGATTGAGACGGATGGTCCGTGGTGTGAAGTCCGCCCCAGCCACCAAGGATACAAGTACCTGGTGGAGGAAAGCGCCGAGCACTTTCCTGTGCAGAACGGAACGGTGGTGCCCGAGCCGGGGACAAAACAGCCCGGGAGACAAAAGAATGAGAAGAAGCGGTCCCAATTACCAGACCGCTTCAAGGTCGTCAAGAAGGAAAAGTGGGAAGAAGGCGCCATGGTCAAGGGCAGAAACGAACCATGCACCATTGAGCGCGTGGCCCAGATCATCGCTGCCATCAAGGGCGTCAGAGTTGAAGACGTCTGTGAGGCAGCCTGGAAGAATACTGTTCACGTCTTCGGACTCGAGGAAACGATATAGACAAAGTTGCGGCATACACAACATTCGCCATGGTTGTATTCACATATAGTAGGGGGTATCCACGATAGAGATAGAGAAAATACACCTTATACTCCAAAAG